TTGGAAGGGAACAGGAGAGGTCAGAATGCAGTGTGCCTATAACTCAAAAGTGGCCACCAATGGAATTTCCTCTTGGGTATTTTATGATTTAACAGGAGAGTAGTGTTTACTCATTTTAGACAAAAAAAAAAAAAAAAAAAAAAAGAAAGAAAAAAAGAAAAAGAAAAACCACACACAGATGAATATCAAGCTCATTTCTAACTGGCAGGAAATCCTAGAAAACTAATTCCCAAAGTGCACTGGTTCTACGGCCATCTGATCCCCACCCTTCCCCCACCCACCCGACCCCCACCCAGCCCCCAAAAACAACAAAACCACACTGGACGTGGGTTAAAAAAGACACTGTCAACATCAACAGGTAACGAGTCTGCTCCCACCACACTTAGGATGCTAAATGGCTGAACATGTAGTGGAGAAATGTTCAAAGATAAGAGGGCCTCAATTCTTCCTGAGTCAAGGTCCCCGGAAGAGCTGCTTTGTTCTGGAGTATACATTACTACTTTTTAATGAGTATAATTAAACCAGAAAGTTGGTCCGTAGTTTTCTGAAATTATTCGGCACTGAGCTACAATTTTAGCAAAACACTCACTATACCTGCACATAATTCATTTAGCAGTTTCATATTTACAAATGCGATAAGTTATAGGGGTGATTATTTATATATTTGCATTTTCAGGTCCCCCACAGGTAAAAGCCTATTAAGTCAATCAGCATCTAACCGACTGTTTGATCTTCTAAACAGACAATACAACCTTACAGTTAAATTACATTTGATACTTTTCTCAAAGTGCTTTCATATACATTATCTCATAGTCATTAAAATGATATGGAATAAAGTTGTTTTGTTTTGAAGAAAAAGGAATGTAGGACTAGGTTTTTTGAAACTTAAGTTGGTATTCATTACAAAGTGCAGACTACTGCTGTGTTGCTGAGGTCTGTCCAAAAGAACGACCCCATATAATTTTTTAAATTACTGAGCTCTACTGAATGCCTGCTTTGCTAGTGTTGCCATTACTAAACATTCAAGCCCCTTAAGGTCAGAGAGTGCCAGGAGCGTGTGCTTTAGAACGTGTGCAGCACTGTGCAAGCTGATTGTCTATCTGAGCCACTTTTTCTGCAGTGTCTCACAAGGCAGCAGGAATGGTGGAAAGACCCCACAACCAGAAAGTCAAGAGACCTGAACCCTAGCCTAGGCTCTGTCACTAATTAATTGAGAAAATGGGCAAAGAACTTAACCATCCTCTCTTCCAATTTCTTAAGCTATGAAGAAAAGGGTTGGGGTACTGATCGTGTTCAGGCAATGCTGAGACACACGGAGGGATTCTTGGAAAGCACATTTGCTGAGACCTCGCCCCACTGGGAATTCTGATCTGGGGTGAGCCAATGTATCTTTTTTAAATCCCAGGGATTTTGCCACACATCCCTGGCTAAGACTCGACTGGACTAAATGTTTGTTAATAGTAGTAGCAGTTAGCATTTATGGAGTGCTCATTATGTGCCAGGCACTCAAGCTAAGTATCTTACACACATTATCTCATTTAATCCTTACAAACAACCCTGAGGTAGTTACTATTATTATCCCTGTTTTCCAATGTGGAAACTAAGGCTCAGGAAGGTTAAATGACTTGCCTTCTAGACTGGCTTAGAGTCTCAACTCTTAATCACTATCTATACTGTATCCTTTAAAACTCAAAAGCTCCATGACTTTAGTTAAATAAACACAGACTGTGCCTTAGCAGTCAGCATGTTTTATTAACTGGGCACTATTTACTAGCCAATTTTCAAGTGAATTGTAAGAAAAAATCTAATTTAACCCCCATAATTAGAGCTGGGAAAGGGTCTTACTATAATGACATCAATGTATAGCGGTCATCTGGAAAAACACTGGATGAATTTCGTAGGGCCAATCTTTTTTAAGGCTAGATCTCTGAAATTCACAATGCAAGTCTGTAGGAAAATATACACACTTTAATATTACACAAAGCCTTTTAAGAAAATACTTCATGTAAAGCACAATCAAGATGTATTCTACACAAAACACTGCATTTTAATGTAAGAAATCTAAGCTGAAATCATATTATCTGTACATGAAAGGATCCAAGCTGTGACAGCCCAAAAGTATGCATATATATAACCACTTTAGAAAGTTTTCAATACCTTGAAGAAGGGCTCTCGCTCCCCTGCTTTGCTTTTAAACTTGATAATGTTTTTTAGTTTCTAGAAGCAGTTTTCTCTGCTGTGAACTGAAACTTTTAAATTTATGTAAGGTTATTTTTAAAACCTGGTCCTTTTCAATTAGAAAGAGGAACAAAATCTAAATTATACTTTCATAGTAAGTTGACAGTGCCTCTTTAACCTGAGCCCTGAGCCCACAACTCCTGAAGTCACACAGTTCAAGCACCGTGTGGATGGGGTGTGCTACAATAGTTAATGCTACTCCTGACAGTGTTGGGAAAAAGCAATCCATTTCATGAACTTGTCGAGCACCGACCGTAGGCAAGACAGAGCCAGGTGCTGCCCCTGAGTAAGACACAGTCCCCACCCTCAAGACTGTTCTGCGGTGAGGAAACCGGGGAGCTTACATACACTCAGTAGTGTTCCTCCAAGGGTTATTTTCAGAGCTCTCAAGGAAAGACCCCCTGCTTTAAAAAAATAAAATAAAATAAAAATCCCCTGAAAAAACAACTACATAATTAATCCCTCAACTTGCATCCCACAATGACGGATAAACTTAAAAAGCAGCATAATATTCTAAAGTTTTAGCTTTCCCTGCCCCACCCTTAAAAGGCTAATTGCTAAAACAATTTCAAGTTTGTGGAAATGACCGATGAAGGGGAGTGGCGACGAAAAAGGTGGGGGGACCGTGGGCCTCCATCCAGGCCACAGGGAACCCTGTCTTCACATCCAGCCACTACAAGAAGATGAGCCAGATCACCAGTTGCCTGCGCTGCACCTGCAGGTAACACACAGAAGGGGCTCACGCAAGCCAGCCAGGGAGGCCCAGGACTGTCTCCTCCCTCCTTACCCTTCTCGTGGCCTGGGCCTCCTTTGGAGCAGCCATAGTAAAAATCAAAGTTTTCTTTCTTTCTAGTGAAAACTAAACTTCCTCCTCAGTCAAAGATGACAAACTCTGTCCAAAACATAGTTTTTCCTCCTTAGTATTCTAGCCCAGTTAGCATACTCTCAGCAGTTCTAAATTTCCATTATCTGCCACTGAGCAAAGAGAATCAAAGACCATTCACCGTTAACGACACTGCACTGAAGCGGCTCTCAGGGGATAGCTATATACTTATTTGCAAAACACCCTTGAGAAGATGTATCATTACCTTCACTTAACAGATTAAGAGACGGGGCTGTGGCCTGACAGTGGACAGATCGCATAGCTAGGAAGAGAACTCACAGTTCATCAGTGTTCAATTCCTATCTTCCTAGGTTAATACTCCTTTAGGAGGAAAAAAATTTATTCTCCATGGGCGGGTGGGTGGGGGGGTGGTCATAAAGCTCTAAAACAAGAATGAAATGTTAATTAAAATTAGACCTGATATCAAGAATATTAACCTCTAATCAATTAGGTTCGGTACCATACGATCCTATTAGCTTCCATGATTATAACTGAATAGGGAAGGAACAGGCCTATTTTTCAAGGGCAAAACATATTGGAGGGTTAAGTCACTAGATTTTTAGGATTTAATCAGTGTTTCCTGGGAATGACCTGCCCCTTCAATTATGCATTCTTCAATAGAGGTGAAATGACAAAATAAATACCAAAGAATAGTCCCAATATGATATTTATAAACAAGCACAACAATGAGGGGGAGGGGGCATGTGAAAGGAGAAAAGCACATGAGAGCGATCTGGGGTAATTCACCAGAAATCCACACAGAGTGAGAGACTGTTTCTTCCTGCTCTCTACCTAGCCTGGCTCTAAGGTGATAAGGAAGGAGAAAGGTACAGAGAAACGGCCACTGGGACCAAGCCAACCTCTCCGTTCAGTCACAGACCTCTGGCCCTGGCGGTTGAATTCCAAGAAGAGACCTCTCTCCTGGCATTTTAACCGGAGAAGGAATACACAGCTGCTCAATCCCGTGGCGGGGGTGTCGGTGTGCAGGGACACTGTATCAGAAAAGGGTTCCCAAGAGAACCTGGTGACCGCTGTTTTCAAAACCAACTCTGGTTAATGCCCTGAATGCTGCCAGAGATGAAGGAAGACGGCCCGCCCAGCAGAGAGCAGAGAAGAACCACTGAGGAGCCCCCTATGCCTGCTGTTGATAGACAGACGCCAACAAGCAGAAAGCCACTCGTGGTCCACGAGGAAGTGACATACTGGACTGGGAGAAGTGACTTCTCATTGGTGTGAAGCCACGAGGAGGAGGTCTCACTCTGACCACTTCCTAGCATCTGTTACTTCCTGCCCCGACTAACGCACCAATGGAAAACGGGACCGGAGCAGGCTCCAGCACCCGGGCCTGCAGCTCTTACTCCAGCAGTGACCTTGTGGAAAGAGCGGCTTCAAACAGCCTCGGCGAAACTTCTCTTGGTACATTCCCAACTTTCTCTTCTGTCCCACCCGATTCATTAGGTGAGCTGGAGCAGAATCGCCATTAGTACCTCCAGGGGCCCCAAGTCCATTCCCCTCTGTGTGGTGCAGAGCGAGAGCCAGAGGCAATCCACCGTGTTGGCGCCGTCCCGCGGCCTTGCCGGGAACAGCCCGTCACTCGCTTCTTCGTGGTGGGACCCGCACGCGTCTCCTGACGCACCAGCACAGCTTCCACTCCCGTCTGCTGCTGCTCCGCCCCCGCCCGACTTCCCTGTCCTATGTGTCTGCTTTTTGTTATTTTTGAGATGAACCTGTAAACGTGAGAACTCAGAGATCTGAGGTACTTCACATAAACACACTCAAGTATCAGTCTTTCATTCTCTGAAAACAAGAACACAGGAAAACAAGCCCCTCTCCCTCTCCCCTCAGAAATGTGAGCACCTTCCCACTAGGCTAACAGTGGCTACCTCTGCACCACATCACTGATCTCCTGTACACATGACAATAAGTTATTAAGGACAGGGTTTGCCCCGGGCACGCCAGCAGCTGCTGAAGACACCTGCAGCTCCTGCAGGCTGAGTTCCAGTTTGCTCACAGCCTCTCGGAAGGCGAATTTGTTGCGAGTCTGGGGGATGCAGTCCACATAGCCTGAGCAGTAGTCGAGCAGCTGGTGTCCGGTGTCCACCAGCTGGCTGTTGGGCACGGGTTCCGTGATTGCACTGGACAGTAGGTCGGCACATTCCAGCAGGGCCTCCTTGCTGATTTTGTCTGCTGAGATTTTCTCAGCCGCCTGTTTGGTTTTTCTCAGAGCCACTTTAGTACCTGCTGTGCCATTAGCCATTTTGGCCGGCGAGATGGAAGAGGTGGGCAGAGGCACTTGAGGCGGAGGCATCGCTGGCCTCCCAGCTTTCCCACTGACGGGCACTGCCCCTGGAGCTGCCTTCTTCCCTCCTTCCGGTGTCTCTGACGTGGGCTGTCCTGCAGCGGGGGCGGTCGGCTCTTCCGTGGGGTCTGAGCACACGGACGGATGCTGCAGTAGTCTCATCACGGGTGGTGGGGGTGGGGCACACTTTGGTTTTACCCGTCGGGGTCGGTCCTTGTCTCCAGAGGATGTGACCTGATGCTCAGATAAGAGTTTGAATTTATTGCCCTGAGAGTCTGTGCCAATGAGCTGCACGTCAGCTGGAGTGTGCTTCAGAGTGGGTGATATGAGGACTGGCACTTTGTGGTTGTGAGTGGTCGGGAGGGCTGCTGCAGCCTTGGCCGGGGAAGACCAGCCTGTCTGCTCGCCATCCTCTGGGACTCCAGCCATGCCAAGTCGTGCTCCGCCATTCCTCTCCTTGCTCTTTGGGGCAGCTGCCACTCCAGCCACCCCCACCCCCGGAGAGTCCTTCTCTGTAATGGCTGGATCCCCAGAGGGGGTTCTGAGAGGAAGAGCTGTGGCTCCTCTAGGCAAAAGTTTGGCTTTTGGTCTCTCCCTGCTTGGAGCAGCACCTTCCTCTGATTTTTTTGGAAGCATGTCATTGGCCCTGTCCACATTCTCTTCTGGCTGAGAAGAGGTGGACACTGTCCTTTCCAGCTGGAGTTTGGACCTCTGGCAGTTCCTGGGAAGGGTCATTGCCATCCTATCCTGCTCTGGAAGCCCTGAGGACATGGAAGATGTAGAGTTTGACCTTGGAAAAGGCTTGGAAGTGTCATCACTGGCTGTGGGTTTACCCGCTCGTAAGCCCAGTGTCTTTTTGATTAAGCGTGGTGTAAAGAAGCCTGTGATGCCAGACCACCCACCCCCAGCAGTGCCGCTGCCCCCGCCCCCACCGCCATCGTCATTACACAGGTTCCTCTGTGCAAAGCTCCCCCCATAGCACTTGGGTGGCACCAGATTCGCCTCTTGCTGGGCAGGAGTGAAAGAGAACCCATCAGCATGCTGTAGAGAAGCAACAGATGAGAAGTTACCCGTGAGTTCATATTTCTTGTGGGGTTGATTCTCCATTTCTCGGAAGGAGCTGCTGCGTTTAGGGGGTGTGGGAGCATTTCTCTTTTTCATGAAGGAGCTGAAGAAGCCTCCCTTCCTATCCCTGGTGAAGCATGTCTCTTTGGCATCTTCCAAGAGGCTGCTGGGTGACTTGTCTCTTTGTTTTCGAGGCAGTGCTGGGGACCCACTGGGGGCCTGTGCACCTCTAACGAACCCTGAAGAGAAATGGCCAATCACTAACGTGAAAGACAAAAAGTGACTCCATTACACTTGAAATACTAAGGTTTAATTTAATTGCACGAGTTCTGTCGGCATCTATTAGAAATCAGGTATTAGCAGGACTCAGAGGAAACTAATAAATACGTTACCGTTTCACATTGCTGAGTGTTCCCAATACAACATGGGAAATAAATAGGAAGCAATAACCTACTTTCTACCTTGGCATTCGTCTTTTCTCTAAATGCTATAGCACACCCTGGCCTCAACTATCAGGCTCAGGGAAGCAGTTTTTGCCAGAACTACACAGATGGTAATGGTCCGGGATTTGAGAGCTGAGAAAACGGAGGGGGAGGCAGAGCTGTATGGCGGACGGAAAGATGAGGACTAACAACGCTGGCACTGCAGAGCCCCGGACCAGAGCAGGAGCTAAAGCAGACGCCAGCCATTCTCTCCTCAGGGAACACGGACAGGAAAACGGAAATAAGGCATCATACCCCAAGGTTCTTGAAACAAGGCAGTTTAATTCTACCTGCCTAGGGATCCATACCTGGTGCTGAACTAGAGGCAGAATTTTCTGTGGCATCCTGTGTCCCTTCGATATTCTCCTTGTTCTCCACCTGTTTCTTCAGCGTTCGGGTCTTAGAAGGAAGTATAGGCAGTCGGGGCAGGTAGGGAACAACAGACGAGGAGGAAGCAGCCCTCCCAAGCTCCTCAGCTACCTCTGTGAGGAAGACAAGGGGACTGATCAAAAACAATTTCATGACACAGAAAAGGAGGTTTGTGTTTCAGAAAAGGTATACAACGGAGGAAGAAGCTGGAGAAAAGAGCACTAAAATATACAAATGGAATCACAGAGCATGTACTTTTACGTCTGCCTTCTTTTGCTCAACATTGTGACGGCCGATTCCTCCATGCTGTTGCATGTAGCAGAGGCTCCCTCTCCCAAGTGTGAGCATACCAAATTAACCCATCCTTCTTCTGGTGGATATCTAGGTTGTTTCCAGTTTGGGGCCGGAAACGAATATGCTGCTACCGACACCCTGCTACATGTCTTTTGCTTCAGAATTGTATGTATGTCTGCTGGGTGTATACCTAGGAGCAGGACCGATGGGTTACAGGGTGCACATCAATTCAGCTTTGCTGGGTCCTCTCAAACTCTCTCCCAAAATGGCTGTAGCAATCTATACTCCCACTAGCCTTGTATCAAAGTTCTGATTACTCTGCATGCTTGCCAAAGTTTGATATTATCAGGCTTTTTGTTTTTGATTTTAGCCATTCTGGTGTAGGTATGTAGTGGCATCTTACTGTTCTATTCTGGACTTCCCTGATGATGAGTAATGATGGTAAGCATGGATTCATATGCTTTCATATTTTGGATATCCTTGTTTACTGAGTGCTTGTTCAGAGGCTTAATAAAGCAGATTTCTGCACTTAGTTTTTACATTGCACCTTGCACCTTGCACCAACAAGGAGGGTGGACACATTTCATGTCATGCTGCATTTCATTCATAAAACAAATGAGGCTCCTGAAAAAGCATTCACTGTATCAGTAAGCCTCGGCTCATTCAACGTGGCTATGCGTTTTTGGGGCTTCTGCTGGGGCAAAGACATACTTTACTATTCACCCCTTAACAAAAATGAAGCAAGCAGGACTGATTAAACTGTGAAATGTTGTGATTTTTTTTTTTTTTTTACAACATTTTGGTGTAACTATTTAAAAAATCAACTCCCCCACAAGAAAGGGCACATGGCATATAACCCAAGTCATGCCAGCGAGACTTTTCTTACGCTGCTGCCTACAGCAGCTGGGAGACAGACGTTAGCTGTGAAGATATGACCTCGAGGAGACGAGCAACTGTGTCCCATACCTATTGGAAGATTCTGAGGATGAGATCAACCTAGAAGCAAAAGTAAAGTGATACTGGGTGGGAGAGGCTGTGAGAAGGAGGAAGTCCTGAAGCTACTTGATTCTGTGGCTTCTACTGACTCTGAGTTAGCACCATCCCTCCTTTCCCATGGTTTGAGCCAATAAATCCTCCCTTTACTGCTTAAGAAAGTTTGAGTTAGGTTTCCTCCACTCACAACTAACTAATGAATACAACTTTTTAAGGTAGGAACTGCGTCTTAGCTCTGTGTCTTCAGTATATGCTAGCCACAGATTAAATGCTATGATTAATAAAATGTGGATTAAAAGAATCTTAAATTTCTGGTTTCGCAACTCTCAACTGCAGTTAGCTTCAAAAATTGATAATGGTTGATTTTCCATAAGGATATAACATTTTCAAAGGAAACAGAACTATTTAACTAAGGATGCAACAGAAATTAGAAGGCGACACAAAAGCACCAAAGAAATGGAGCCTATGACTTCTACCACTTCAACTCCACACGAAGGAAAGCACACAGAGGAAGTAGAGAGCTGGCCAAGGAGCTGCTCAGTGTGGCCCAAAGGGCTGCCTGTATGCTCTGTGATGTATATGCACAAGCTTCAGCTTACAAAGGAGTAGGATGAAAATACTTTGCTTTCAACCTCAGTATTTACTTTTCCCTTTGATTTTATCTGAAATGATAAGTCACTAATGGAAGAAGACAAAATTCAACTTGCCTGATTTCCTCTTCTAATATTTTGAAACCTGAACTTCAGTAGCGAGCTCTATGTTCAATTATGAAGGAAAGGAAAAATCTGAAAAACGTACGAAATTCTGGAGCTATACTGAAAAACCTAGTAAGAACACATAACTAAGAATTCTATGTTTTTAGCTCTCTAGGAATAGCTTCACTATATAACAAGTGTTTACTGTTTGACTCTTGCATGTAATTTTAGAAGCACTGTAATACCAAAGCAGGAAACTGCCTGTATGTATGTATGTATGTACCCATACACTTATTTTTCAGATAAGAAAAGGGCTCTGTTCATAGCTTAACGTGCTCATTTTAAAGTATTCTCCATGTCAACATATTTAAAAATGTCATTTTAAATATTCAATTATAAGCATATAGTAATTAACAGCCCACTGGATTTTTTTTTTTAATTTTTTTTTTTTCAACGTTTATTTATTTTTGGGACAGAGAGAGACAGAGCATGAACGGGGGAGGGGCAGAGAGAGAGGGAGACACAGAATTGGAAACAGGCTCCAGGCTCTGAGCCATCAGCCCAGAGCCCGACGCGGGGCGCGAACTCACGGACCGCGAGATCGTGACCTGGCTGAAGTCGGACGCTTAACCGACTGCGCCACCCAGGCGCCCCAGCCCACTGGATTTTTAAATTGTTCTTAATTTTTCAATATTATAAACTATACATCCTTGTAGCTAAATCTTTATTCATACTCTTACTTATTTCCTTAAGATCTACTCCCAGAAAATAACTTTCTGGATATTGGGAGGTTTTTTTGTTTATTTATTTTGGGAGAGACAGAGAGAGAGGGAGAGCACAAGCAGAGACAGAGAGAGGTAGAGAGAGAGAATGTAGGGCTTGAACTCACGAGCCACAAGACCATAACCTACCTGAGACGAAATCAAGACTCGGACACTTAACCAAGTGAGCCACCCAGATGCCCCCAAATTTCAACATTAAAAATGAGCGAGAGACATACACATTTAAAGAAAGCAAAACAAGAATAACAGAGGCCACGAATTAATTCAGTATCCTGAAATGGAGTCCCAAACTGCAGGAGTCTATAATTTTTAATGTTATTACCACCCCTACCACCACCCATGACTGGCCACCAACAGTGAATCACCAGATTCTCACCTTCAGAAATGCTGGAGTCATGGAACATGGTTTCAAAAGCCTGATGTGTTTCAGCAAAAGACGGCCTGTCGGCAGGGCTCCACTTCCAGCCTATGTAACAAAAGAAGGAACTAGTGAAAGCTCTTTATAAATTAACCATCCAGTGGCACACCTGAGAGGGAGTGCTGTGCATCATGGAAACAGCAGAGGCATAGCATGTTCACAGGTGTAGTGAGCCCACATCCTAGGGCTGGTCCTTCCATGTAGTCTTAGCTTCTGTCCTTTCTACTACAGGATAAAGAGGGGTGGGGAGATGGTTTCTGAAATGGAAAGTTTTCTTCTACTGGAAAAATGAAAAAAGTAAAACCTGTCTTCAAACTCATTCTAACCTTAAAATCAGCTATCCATATTCAGAAATATAACAGGCCATCAGAAAGGAGGAACTTAGAGTCCACTTTGACAAAAACAGGACAATAAGGAAAATAACAAGACTTATGCTTAAACACAAATGCAATTTAATTCATTACTCACCTTCCAGCTCTCTCATCTGTACGAAGTCAGAGGCTTCTGTTTACTCATCAGAGGTTACTTTCAGGTATTCTCCAGAGTCTTTAGGAATCGTTTTTATCTAGTTGAAAGCAGCCTTCCTCTATCTAATCTCCAAACCCAAGTGCTTATTATCCTATTAAATATGCAAGTGGGCCATGGAAAACTATTCTCAGGATTCCAATTAAGACACAATGATTGGTGGAAATGCCAACTGGTGCAGCCACTCTGGGAAAACAGTATGGAGCTCCTCAAAAAATTAAAAATAGAACTACCCTACGACTCAGCAATTGCACTACTAGGTGTTTATCCAAGGGATACAGGTGTGCTGTTTTGAAGGGGCACATGCACCCCAATGTTTATAGCAGCACTATCGACAATAGTCAAAGTATGGAAAGAGCCCAAAAGTCCAATGACGGATGAATGGATGTGGTATATATATACACAATGGAGTATTACTCGGCAATCAAAAAGAATGGAATCTTGCCATTTGCGACTATGTGGATGGAACTGGACGGTAGTATGCTAAGTGAAATTAGTCAGAGAAAGACAAAAATCATAGGACTCCACTCATATGAGGACTTTAAGGGACAAAACAGATGAACATAAGGGAAAGGAAACAGAAATAATGTAAAAACAGGGAGGGGACAAAAACCTAAGAGACTCTCAAATAGGGAGAACAAACAGGGTTACTGGAGGGGTTGTGGGAGGGGGGATGGGCTAAATGGGGAAGGGGTATTAAGGAATCTATTCCTGAAATCATTGTTGCACTATATGCTAACTAACCTGGATGTTAATTTAAAAAATAAATTAAATAAAAATTAAAAAAAAAAAAGACAATGGTTGGGCCTTCTGGGTGGCTGAGTTGGTTAAGCATCTGACTCTTGATTTCGGATCAGGTCACGATCTCAGGGTTGTGATATCGAGCCCCACATTGATTGGGCTCTGCACTGAGCACAGAGCCTGCTTGGTATTCTATCTCTCTTCTCTGCCCCTCCTCCCACACTCCCTCCCTCCCTCCCTCCCTCTAAGATAGATAGATAGATAGATAGATAGATAGATAGATAGATAAATTCTCTTAAAAAAAAAAACCACAATGGTTTGTCATATATGCCAACTAGCTGATAAATGACCAACTCTTTATATGCCATGAGGTTGGTCACTCTAACAATACTGAGAGGAAAACTATTTCTTAGTATCACTAAGAATCACTGCCTTAACCTTTAAAATCACTGCCTTAACCTTTAAAAATTAAAATAAAAAAAAAAAAAAGAAAACCACTCACATGCTCTCATAAGTTCATAAACCTTAGGGGGGCATCCTTCAGGTTGTTCCATTCGATATCCTTTTTCCAGTAGATCATAGACCTGAGACAGGTCAATACCTGGATATGGTGACATTCCATACGTAGCAATTTCCCACAGCAATACCCCAAAAGCTGCATAAGGGATAAAAGAAATAAAAAGCTGAATGTTTCTTCTCTGATTTGTTATTTATTATGTACCATCAGGTAACTTCTCTTTCAAATTCTGCATAACATTCACACTGTTCATTAGTATACTCTTCTAATTCTTCTAGCATTCTGATTCTTACAGCTGAATTTGTCCTTCTAAGATATTTGCCACAAGAATGCTTCAGGTATAACCTCAAGACTTTTACTTAGATCTCCTTTACTGCAGTGAGGGAGAATAAATTATGATCATAAAAAGCCTAGGTCATAACTGAACTACTCTTAGAACAATCTATGATCTATTTAATGAGTTTCAGTTTTTAGATCAGCTAATATTAGGGGAGTAAAATAAAAATGGATTCATTTAAAATCAGAAAAAAAATTACGCTAGAAAAAAAAAAACTGCTTGGACTTGGTCACAGGTTATTTCTGAGTTTGAGATTCCTGATAAAAAGTCACTTCGTCTCGGTTGCAGATAAAAAGTGACAACTATTTCTGCTGGCCTACAACCCAAATTTCTAGACTTGTTCAGTCCACTGAGCATCCACTAAATCAGAATTCTTTTCAGTGGAACAGAAACAAGATGAGTTACAAAAGCAAATTCTAGATGCAATTCCATCACGCTTCCTTGAAAAGAGAAGGCGACTCTGCGGCATGATACTCTGGAAATAAGCAATAAAATCTAATAAGGAAAACAGGAAACTTTACAGAGAAAGGATCAGTAAAATCCAATGCAGTCCAAGATCTAGACTGTGAGCTCTTTGAAAGGACTTTTTTTTTCACTTTCTTCTTTACACTTTTTAAAAATTTATTTAATTTAAGTAGGCTCCACACCCAATGTGGGGCTCGAACCCCTTTCTCTACACTTCTTTCTATGCTAAGTACCTAGCACAATGCCTGGCAGACAGTAGAGATTTAATAAATGCTTGCTGAATGACTGATAAAGGATGGGGGTAAGGCAGAGTTTACTGGTCACATAAAAGAGAAATTCTGAAGAATTAAAGAACATTTATAAAAAAACAAGGGGGCGCCTGGGTGGCGCAGTCGGTTAAGCGTCCGACTTCAGCCAGGTCACGATCTCGCGGTCCGTGAGTTCGAGCCCCGCGTCAGGCTCTGGGCTGATGGCTCGGAGCCTGGAGCCTGTTTCCGATTCTGTGTCTCCCTCTCTCTCTGCCCCTCCCCCGTTCATGCTCTGTCTCTGTCCCCAGAATAAATAAACG